GAACATAAATATATAATAGCCTGAGGTCCCCAGATAACCCTATAATATAATATGAATTATTTTTTAAAACTTCGTCATTGATAATCGGCGATGCAACAATATAATGCATCAAATATCAATTACCTTTCAAGCTTGTGAATCCAAAAATTTCATTTTTTATTGTTAAGTAAATTAATTTTATCAGCATATCAGAAAATTTTGGCTATGTGAAGTGCGTATATCATGAGTATATTTTTCCAAATATCATGTAATAAGGACTTAGTTTAAATGCATTTATAATAAAATTATGTGGCCAAAATTACTTTAAGATTAAACTAAAATTGTATTTTCGCCAATTTACACAGCAGTATGAAAATCGAATGCTGAATTAAATATTGTCATATTTTCACAATACAAGAAACACTAAAAAGTTGTTGCATTTGCATGGGTGAGAATCCCTGCCACGTTTTTGGTCAGTTTCGCCGGGGCTCATGTCTTTCCTCGAGGGAGCATTAGTGTCTACAGAAAAACTGACAAATCCTAGCAAAGTCCAATCCGAACCACATCTTCCATTAGAGGTGGTGCTGGGTCAGCTGGTTACTGAACGGATTGGCCTGGAGAAAGGCATAGTCCTGTTATTCTCAAGTTAACCATAGAGGGGGTCAGGCGCTGTTCGCTCACGGCTGGTTCTTGGAGCCAACACCCTCAACCCCACAGAAGTGGGAGCACTGTCAGTGGTGACTCACCCAGATAACGGACAGTGTCTCTCCTTCTTTCTTCTTGGACTTGCATTGTTGCTGGTGAGTCAGCTGGCAACAGTGTACCATACTATCATATTCATGTTTTCTTCCCCACATCTCCTACACCTCACCCCAACCGCAGGTTCCTTGTGGGTAAAGGAATATTCAACCGCAGGTTCCTTGCGGTTAAAGGAACAAACAAAAACAAAAAACGGCGGACTCCTTGCCGGTAAAGGAGAATTCTACAGCAAGTTCCTTGCCAGTAAAGGAACATTGAACAAGTATCGAATCAGTATAGCTATTCCCTGCTTCAGATAGGGACTGCGTGACAGTTTTATCCTTCGGGGACAGCGGAAGCTATGCCAAAATTTTCAGCCGATCCCTTTCATGTGCAAGTTTAACCATCCACAGTTTCTATTACTGATTTTGAGACACCTCCGGAGACTTAATCATGCATGGTTCTTGAGTCAAAGTATAGCAAATTGCCGGAAGAGAGTTAATATATGTAATTTCAATTATTTATGATACCGATACAAGCATTCAAATTCCAGACATTTTCAACCAGAATAGTGAGCTGAGACAGGCTTTCTGAGAGTCTTTTGATGTCTTAGCTCAATATCATACCGAATGGCTCTCATGAGGAATAAGGTCAGTTGGCTGCTTGCATATCTGCCCAGTGGCAAATAGTCAGGCGTCCAGGAATTTAACACCTAGTCAAAATTTGTTGATAACCGGTAAAAAAAGATTCTTGTGGAAAAAATATTCACATTAATTTAAAATTAAATCAAAATTGGTCGCTCTCAGGGCTAACGCGATGTTACATCATTTTATCGACTCGAAGTTCGAATCGAGCGCATTCCTAGATTCCATGACTATTTCTTACCTATAAGATTGCTTGACTATTTTTTGCGCATTCAGACACCAAAAAACGCGCAGAAAACGCGAGCTATCCATTCCTCCTTCCTCAACAACCCGGAATATAAAAAAATAGTCATGTAAAATAGTCATTTGAAATAGTCATGCAAAATTTCAGCTCTGATACGCTAAAATATCAAGTTAATCTTAAACAATCGACAATCTAATATGAATCCTCCCAATCCTCCCAGCCATATTAACTGGTGAACGGTGTAAATATAGAGCGGTATTTTAAAATGTAGCATTCTAAATTTTATGGATTCAAGTTGGCTCCTTTAGTCTAGATTCATTTAGAAAATTCTCGAAGTTCGAGTAATACAGTATTCTCAGGGTTTGGCGCTTAAGGAAGCTTCACATCCGAGACCGATTTCCACGAATCAATTTAATATTGTAGCTACAAGTCAACAACAGTGCAAGTGGGAAGGAAGTGAATCTAGCCATTGCTACTATATCAGGGGAACTCGTGTGTTCTAGGCTTAAGCAAGTTTCACATCCTAGATCATCTAGAGTACAGTGCAACCCCCTCCATTATACATCCCTATCCCGCTTTAAGTCCGAAGTTTATCACTGTTTATTATCCAATATTGTATCTAACCTGGCAGAAGCAAGCTTCAGATCCATAGTCAGGCCATAAATTTCGACACAAGGTCGAAGCCACCTTCAGAGTAGCGAATCGCTCATCATGCTGATGGGAGTCCAATCTTAGAGCTCGATCTTCCGAGTTAGTATGAAGAATAGTATGAAAATGTCTGTGGGCTAGGGTGTATAGTTCTTTGAAAAAATATTTCCTTGCGTTTCAAATAAATTAAAGAATTCTCAGAAATTTTTTATTTAATTTCAAAATTTGCAATTGCATATTCATCCGGTAATTATTCTAATGGATACGCTAAGCATTTCAAACTAATCTTGACCTGGGAGAAGAGCTGACCAGTGACAAGTCGGCCGCAAAGCGGCCGAAAAATATATAGCCTTTTTTTCTTCCCAAAATGGATTCCTAGTCATATTTAAAATTTATTCCACTGGGCATATCTGGCCATTATTTCTCGGGACGATCATGTCATAATGATTCTGCTCTGTTGCTTTGACGTCAGTGGCAGACATATTGTCCCACAGGTCGCTGTGAAGTCCTTATGTGCACAGCCAGTACAGAAAGGACGATACTTAAGGATCCGCGAGGGCTTGAAGGCTTATTCAGATAGCCCATTATTCGCACCTTTCTCCGTGGATTCCCTTAGAAGGGAGGCCGAACGGCGGACCTATACCAGTAAAATTTGAGGAGAAGCCCGGTTACGGATTAAAGCCGTCCGGGACTAAAACTGAACTGAACTGAGTTGTTGCTTCTTTCGCCTCTATTTGATTATCGTTTCGATGTCTTGTTGTTTATTAACTATATTTTTATGTATTCTCATTGAGGCGGAGAACTCATACATATTAATTCTCATCGTTTGTATCATGTGTTTTATCCCTCTGTAAAAGTCTCCTTAAATTTTTGATGGATGATCATAATTTGTTATGAACACTTTAATAGAGTTGAATGAAATAAAGGATATAGCTCGCTGTAGGCCATGTTGGAGGAATCTTTTGTAGTTTATGCAGTTAACGGTGTGAAGGAGTTTTTACCACTGTAGATTCCATTTGTACTGTAGTCGACTATTATATATGACTTAATTTTAATCTTCATTATAATTTATCGTGATTGGCCATACAACATCCAACAGAATGTTCCCTATTCACCATTTCGATCAAAAATTGACTGGGATATGGCACGTTTTGCTGCCAAATTTGTTGCTTAAAATTACTTAATATTCGGGGTAAAAAGCGCCCCCCCCCCTCTATCTCTGAAATGATGGCATCATGATCTTGTAGTCTATGACACTGTTCCTTGCTGCACAATTAGTGAAGATCTATGCAGTTTTCAATATAAAAGGGGGGGGGACCACCAACCCATTTTAGGCCAGGTAGCGCAGTTGGTTAGAACGCCAGCTTTGCAATCGTGAGGTTGCGAGTTCGAATCCCACTGTCTGCCTGGTCGTGGGGTGAGCGTCGTTGACATTCAGCTAAGGATCCTGAGTGGTCTTTGCAGCCCCCGGTCTACTCAGCCGAATACTCGAGAAATCGGGTGTGAGGGTTAAATGAGGAGCTGCACATTGCAGCAAAGTCTCTGGCAAAGAAAGTATGGTACACACTACCTTAACCATCACTGGCTAAAAACAAATCCTTCGGCTTCCTGTAATTGGCTGGTTGCACTTGTGTAACAATGTGGCTGTTGGAATACTCCGAAGTAAAATAAGTGTCTTGATAAAAAAATGTAGATGAGACACCTCACAGCCAGTAGACCAAAGTAGCTCTTGCTTGTAAAAGAGCTACTTCGGGAGTCCCTCCAGGGATCATTTCGTCTGTAAAATTTTGTATGATGTTGTTATTTATGATTAATATTTGTTATGTTATTATTTTTGATTAATATTTGATAATACTTTTAAATTTGATGGAGAAATAGTTACTGTATATTTTTCCATGTAGTGTGTTGACACTTTGTAGACATTAGTGATGATGTTATGTCATAATTTTTAATTTACTTTACTTTACTTTTACTTTATAATATTTACAGTCTGAAACCAATTTAAGTAAATAAACACAGGAGACCTCAAAGCTCGCCTTCTGAGGGATAAGGTTGAAGGATTATGTTAAATTGCTATTCTTGGCTCAATAATCACACTCTTGTTAATTTAAGTGTCATTTACAGCTGAGCATAAGGGTCAAATTTAAATTATTCAGCCTTTTGGTGCTGTATAAAAATAACATTAACTAATTATTATTATTATATCGGGTCTCAATAAGAGGTCTCGACTGCCTAGGCATCAAACCTTGGCAATCGGTAATTCTCCTCTGGCCCGGAGTCAGCTGACCCTAGGGACCAGAGGATAAAGACGTAGAGACTGTGTGTATCTACAAAAGTGGATGTTTATTATTATTAATAAATCTATCGAATTTGGTTTCTTATAACTTTTGGTTTCTTATTCTGTTTTGACGTTGTGCTGTTCTTGTAATACTGTTCTTGTAATTTAAACACCATGGGATTGGTTGATTTTTCAGGCTTATTGTTAATATTGCTTTATTTTTAGTTCACAATAGATGCATGTTTAATGTTTATTAAATAATTGAATAAGTTTACCAAATTATGTATATAATTGAAGATAATTTTTCACTGGTCTTTGAGATGTTGGCGAAAATATCCAATTGCATTCATTTCAAACTTCTTTAATCAGATGTATTATAATATTCAGATGTATTATAATATTTGATCCATTTAATCCCATCTGTTCTTTCTAATGATTCTGCTGTGAAACTTTTGAAATTCTCAGATACATGGTATCAGACAGACATGCCCTCCTTGGAGGAAGTGCTGCAGGGTTTGTGGTTGACATTGCACTGTTCCCCATCGACACAATCAAGACAAGGATGCAGTCTAAACAGGGGCTCAGATCACTTGGTTTGTCAGACCTTCACAAACTGAAAGGCGTTGGGTTAGTCATCAATTACTGGCAACTTTTGATTCGATTTACCACTTTTGCTCCTTCAAATGAATTAAAATTGGATATATCTCTTGTTCAAAATGTACATTTGTGTTAATGAGTTGAAGTTTCCTTGTGCACCTCGTAAACTCATCCTCTCTACAAAGAGCAGCAGCAGTAGGAAGTATGCCTGGATCAGCCCTCTTCTTCCTTACGTACGAGCATGTTAAGAGGATGAATCCTGGTGGTGGAATTACACAACACATGATAGCATCAAGTCTGGGTGAAATTGTGGCGTGTTTCGTTCGGGTTCCCACTGAGGTTTGTGACTCTTCTGTTAAATTTAGATTTTCTCAGGAAAGAGAGGATACTTTGATGAATTTCTACATTTAACAGTAGGCAGTAGCAATTGTACTGAGTAACATTCCATGACCAGGTGGTGAAACAAAGAGTACAAGCTAAGTTAGCAAGCAGCTCATGGGCAGGATTACGAGATACCATCGCTCACTCTGGGCTCAGAGGACTCTATGTGGGATACGGGACTACAGTTATGAGGGAGGTACTATCATCCGTACTATTAAATTTCATTCCATATTTTCATTTAACACTTCTCAAATTTTATGTATAGACAAACCTCTATACCATACCTCTCTATACCAGGTACCTCTATATACTGGGCATCTTCTTCCAACCCCCCCTCACCCCCGGCCCCCCCCCCCCCAACGTTTAGTTCATTAGCTCGTTTTGTGCAAAAAACATGTGACTTATCATAGCTCATATCACTACAGTTGCTGTTTATAATAATCCATGATTTTGCGTTTTTTGTTTTTTGTTAAAATGCACAATATGTGATATTGTATAAAATATTATACAAGCTAAATAATGTGAAATTCTTTTGCTGTCCCCGAGCTCGCTTTCTGTAGAAATTATTAAAACAACCTCATACTATGTATCAACTTACAATCTCAAAACATTGCGATCTGATAAGGCACATGCTATTATTTGTTCCTAACACAAATAATAAGGGTTCGTTAACAGCAACCACAGATAACATTTTTTCACTCAATTTGACTGTTTTTATATATATTATATACCTGCAGATTCCCTTTGCTGCGATTCAGTACCCTATATGGGAGAAGCTGAGAGCGGCCTATAACCCTGAAGGAAGTGGATGGAAATCAGGAGTGTTTGGTAGCATTGCTGGAGCTATCGCGGGTCAGTGAGTTTTCGAATATAGGTTAATATACAGGGGGGGGGGGGGATATAGGTTAATATACAGGGGGGGGGGGGGGCGAAAGTCTGTACCCATACGTTGGGTCTTATACCACCGCTGTGTTTTATATTTGAGAGTTGTTCCTTTGCAGATGGCATACTGTACCTACTTGTTCGAGGATTCCGTCACCAAAATTTGAAAATTCAATTTTTGGGGGCCACACCCAATCAACTTGAATTGCTTATACTGGTGTGAACATGTTAGAGACTCCTTTGTAACATATTGCAATATACTTACTTTGAGTACTTTGAGTAGGTTTGGCTGGGATCGCTTCAGGACAACAGTATCAAGTACGTCCTCCTATCACTCCACAGGGGTCTTTTTGTAAGTACCATTCCAAGAGTGAGTTGTTGTTAGTAGCGGTGTATCCTTTAGTCGGAGGTGTGTCGGGGAATTCTTTAAGGAATTTAGCCAGTGACGATTTTAACAGGTCCAAAGTAGAGATGGAATTAATTTCTTTGGGGAGAAGATTCCACAGCTGTGCCGCTTTCACTCCAAACGAGTTTTCATAGTGAGTTGCCACAGAACGCTGTGATTTGTTGTTCAGTGCTGGTACAGTAGCTTTTATTCCATGTCGGGGGTTGTTTTTGAACAGCATGCCAATATCATTTGGGGCCAGGCCATAGAGAATTTTCCATGTGTGGATCAAGATGTACCTTTCTCGACGTCTCTGCAATGATATGATATTGAGTTTTGTGAGACGTTCCCAGTAGTCTAAACCACTGCATCCGTTAATGCGTCAGGTAAATTGTCGTTGAACGTTTTCTATAGCCTCTATGTCCATGGTCTTGGCTGGATTCCAGACAGGGCAGCAATATTCTAGCTTACTCCGCACCATGGTTTTGAAGAGGGTAAGCATGAGAAATTGTGATCTATCTTTGAAGACGCTAAGAACCCAGGATGACATAGTGCTTGCTGATTGGATCATTTTCTGGATGTGGGGAGTCCAAGAGCAGTCGTTTGATAAAATCACCCCCAAGTCCCTGGCAGTTTCTGCTGGCTCAATTATTTGACCTGTTGTAAGAGTGTAACTGAGCAGATCATTTGTAAATGGCAGATTTCGTAGCAGAAGAGAATTATTGAGCGTATAGTTGAGGATCTCAAATTTGGCTTCATTGAGCTGCATATTGTTTCTTCGAGCCCAGGCAATGACATTGAAGAGGTCTTCTTGTAGCGATGCTTTGGTGGCCAAGTCCAATATTTTACCGATGAGTTTAGTGTCATCAGCAAATATCTTTCCAAGAGAGGTAAGCAGTGCGTCCAATTGGTCATCGATGTAGAGAATGAACAGAATCGGTCCCAACACTGTACCTTGTGGCACTCCACTTATCACCAGCTGGAAGGATGACTTAGTTCCTTCAACGACCACTGTCTGGAGACGGTTTGTTAGGAATTCGCTTAACCACTGGAGCATGTTTCCATGAATTCCGTAACGTTTTGCTTTTGCAAGTAGTATGTTGTGATCCACCTTATCGAACGCCTTGGCGTAATCGAGGTATATGACATCTACTTCTTCGCCACTGTCATTTAATGTCATTTAATCCGGAATATAATCTGAAAATATGGTGCAAAACGGATTTAAAATGACGAAGTTATCAAGCAATTTGTTTATCTCGTTAGAAAAATTGATTGGGTACTCAATGATTACCCAATTACGACACCGTAATTGGGCTCCCTGCACGATTTTCATAATGCGGATCTAGCCTCAACCCAATCACCTGATCACACGTAATGAACAAACTCGTTATGCTTCATATCTCGGCTGAAGACGATTTACACAAGTATTTTGATTTACACAAGTATTTTGCATTTACACAAGTATTTTGAAAGCTCCTGCTAATAAAATCTTTCGTATCACTTATATGTTTTAAATATCCCCCTCCAGGTTCATATCTCGGTCATCTGAGAAGCTATAACTCTAATTTTTTCAGGACAAACGTAATTCGAATGGCCAAACACAATTCAATAAAATTTAGCTCGATCCGACTATCCAAATTATCAAATAAATGCGAAAATGAATCTTCATTCGAAAAAAATGAACACGAATATTTGTCGATTTGACAAGTGATAGTAGTAAGTCATACCAGAAAGAATTATTTCAATTGGGCACTCAATGGCTGAGCTATTAAGGCCAACGTATGGGTACTGACTTTTGGCCCACCCTGTATAATTGCATTTACGCTCCATTATTTTAACACAAACAGCAATTGCTGTTTACAGTAAATAATGGCTATTAAAGATTAGCGCTCACCATTTGTTAGGAGCATTATCCTAGTTAATTCAAATTTTCATGAATATAAAAGATAATTAAATTTACCTTCAGGTGGGGTGACGACTCCGATCGATGTTGTGAAGACCCGTATAATGTTATCTACAACCAATGAGGGGGCAGTCACAGTAATCAAACAGCTCCATTCAGAGGGGTTGTCTGCATTTTTTAAGGGATTCTCTGCTCGAATAGGATGGTTATCTATAGGAGGATTTGTTTATTTAGGAACTTATCAAACAGTTATAGAATTATTTACTTGATTTAGTTATTGAAATTAGGCTTAATTTATTATGTAAATTATTTTATATACTAACTAAATGATAGCGTACATTTACGGAAACTGTCCTCCCTTCACTGTGTTAGCTTTTAAGGTATTCTATTACATCCAGGGTAAACATATGTTTTATCTCTTAATTTATTACATTTTTACTATTATTTAGGCAGTTTCTGTATCGTAACTTATTATCATTACATGTGTTTGTATACTTTCCCTTTAACAACAACGAAATCTTGAATCTCAGGTTTGAATAATCTCTCATTTGTAAAACTGTAAATACCAATTATTGAAAAATCAATTATTTAACATCGTTCATTGTATCCTGACCTTATTATATTCCCCATTTAATAAAACTGTACTGATTAAGAACGCACTATAGAATGAGAGGCTACAGTCAGAATCATGAATCTCTCATTGACTACTTTCATAAAGGTTAGTACTATAAATTGAGTATCATTCGTTGATGACGTCATTGAATGACATTTTTCTGAAACAGGCCTTTGCAAGGTTTGCAGTTGCACTATAGTTTGTACTATTATGAATCCAAGCTGAAATTTCAATGTGTTTCTTTTAAAAGGGTCTTCTTCCTGAGATTACGTATGGCGCGGGCATAAACATTAATAGACAACCGCGCAAAATTTGCGCGCATGGTGGGAAATTTACGCGCGTTTCCGGCACGAAACACTGGTTGAATCCTGGCCAGCGATTCTTGACAACAGACCTCTCAGAGTGGTACAAGAGTGTTCATCGAATGAAAAACAACAGAGATCACTTCGAAGCTAACGAGATGACTATTCGGTATGAAGAAAAGCAAAGTAACGCAGCTGTCAAAGGTAAGTCCTTGGCCGACATATGGGTTATTTTACCGAAGCGTTTAATGTGCTCTTAAACTCGTTTTAGGCACACACATGAAAATTATAAGCCTTATATACTCTAGTAGTTACTCTACTAATATGTTCAATTGTTTGGAGCTTGCGTCCTTCTAAATAATGTCTGATATCTATTAATTTCAGCTCCTAACTTCAAAGCATTTGATTTTGAGCACTACAAAACTCTAAAACAAGCGGAGTCTTGGAGACCAAAAGCAGAAGAAGTTGACGGAGGAGGATCTGCAACAAAGCCAGTAGTGACTCCAGAAAACCGCACTATATACACAGAGAATAGACAGATATACGGAGAATCAATACGATACAGCGACATGGCTGCTAAACCCGCTAGTTCAGAAAAATACCAACCTCCCCACCGTCGCGCGTAGTGTCTTATTGTTCCTTATACGGACTGAGACGAAATCCAGGACTCATGTATATCCAAAGAATTATATTTATTTCCATCAGCTGTATAATGATTAGTACCCCTGATTTTGCCAGGATATTTTCGAGATTGAAGGATTTTCTTCCGATATACGTATATGACTATATGTTGATGAAGAAAGATGATAGAATTCTTTATTCAAGCATTGGTGGTGGGCAACCTTCTTTCGACTCACGTCCCAGAAATTATTCTATGACAGTAATAACAATTTTGAGATAAAATCATTTCGAAAGTATATCAAAATGTTGAACATTTTTGACGTTCCAGTCATTGATGAAAATAGTGGTTACCCATCCCAAAGCATGGTTTAGAATTTCTGCAATATGAAGAATTTATTTGAATTGTATTTACTCAATATCGTATGAGTGATAAGAAGCCGTGTACTTATCCCCCTCCAGGTTCATATCTCGGTCATCTGAGAAGCTATAACTCTAATTTTTTCAGGACAAACGTAATTCGAATGGCCAAACACAATTCAATAAAATTTAGCTCGATCCGACTATCCAAATTATCAAATAAATGCGAAAATGAATCTTCATTCGAAAAAAATGAACACGAATATTTGTCGATTTGACAAGTGATAGTAGTAAGTCATACCAGAAAGAATTATTTCAATTGGGCACTCAATGGCTGAGCTATTAAGGCCAACGTATGGGTACTGACTTTTGGCCCACCTGTCGCTGATCGCTCCGTCCATCATTTTGCCCGTTTATCAACTCTATTGATCGGAAAAAGGAACAATCCTTTCCGGTAAACGTGGGAGTGAAATGGAGGATGATGGGTGAAATTTAATCAATAACCCAGTATCAAAATTCCAGTGTCGTTTACAACGGAAACGTATTTAGACGTAAGTCTGATTCATACTCCCTTCGAGGATTGTTTTATTTGTTATCTTACGCTGGTAATGCGTTTATGCTCTACCTGTCAACAATAAAGTCGCTATTTGACTTCCTACAGCCAAGTAACTCACTAGTTGTTTTATAGAAATCTTTCGTGAATTATTGGTAACGGGGCGTTGATCTGAAGTGAACAAACACTGAGACGGATTCCGCTCAATTTTCTCATCTTTACACATTTTTCTAACTTTAAAAAGAACAGTGTCTTACAAACTCTGGCTGACCGGCAAGAGGAAAAAATTCTTTAAGTCCAATAAAACGCGATCACATACCCATGGTATTTTTATATCGTTAAGTCGCCCTTAACCTTTTTATCAGAATAAGCCCATTATGATTTAAACAACTTTGTAGTGCTGTTATCTATTACTATATTGCTTTGTTTACACTGCGGTAGTAAATATGTTAATCAGATGCTGGAATAAGAACTGAAATGAACAAATATAGAATTGTCATCACTTTCATATTTTCAATTATATACTTCGATTATATTATGTCACTATTAGGATTGTATTTTTTACATTTTCAAATTGATTGTTACCGTGCAGTGAATAAACATAAATTGTCCTGTAGAACGTAGTAACTTTATTATGTGGCCAGAATATTGTCAGTGAGCATCCAACAACACATGGTTGTCCAGGCTCCTAGGCACACTAAGCAGATGAGAGACAAATATGTTTATGCTAAAGTGTTCATCTTTGACTCTGATGTTTCTCAGCAGTGCATCATCCTTTCATCAGATCAAGATTGTGTTACTGTATCGTTATTTACTTAAAGTAGCTCACGTTCTTCTTTTAGATAGCAACAAAAAAAAAAGTGAAGATGATCTATTTAGTGGCATGATTGCTAAATTCTTGATCATTGGACCAAGCAAATCAGGTAATAAAATAATTGGTTAAGGAGGGGGGGGTGGTTCACCCGGATTTTTTTTTGTGAAACTTGGGTTTGGAGATAGTATTTGTTCCAACAAACTAGGACTCATGACCGAACTGTTGAGGGGTTATCGACCCCTAACCGCCAAACGGTGCCCGCGGGCAGCCAAACGGCCCATATTTGGGTCCAAATTTGCCCAATTTAGCCAAATACCCTGACATGCCCAAAACCCAGAGTTTAGGTACCTAGACTGTAGCTAGTAGTCCCCTGAACTCGTAGATGAATTTTCATCAAGATTGGACCAAAAAATGACTGAGTGATGAGCCAAAAACCATAATACCATATTGGGCAATACGCACTCCAAATTTTTGGATCGATTTTGGCCCATAAATTGAATCAAATAGCATTATTTTTGAATATAACCAACTTTATATGGAAGGTAAGCCTAGACTACACATTCTCTATGATTATCAACGCAGTATCGACCTAAACTTGGATTCTGTGTTCAAACAATTCCAAAAACTGAACAAAATCGCCCATATCTCAGTTCGCAATATTGCGAAACGGATTTCACTCAAAACAATAGAACACATAGGGTTTCAATATTTTTACTTGAAATTTTCAGATCAACGTAGAATCGCATTTTTCGACCTTAAATTTGTATATGGAATTTTGAGTTAGCCTTTAGAAAAATTTGGCGGCCAAATTCCATAAATTTGCAAGGCAAAAGTCAGATTTGGCCGCCAAATGCGAAATGATACCGAGAATTGAAAATCCGTCGCCGCGTTTTCCATGTTGGCTGCGCCCACTCTACCCATTGTTCGGTATAATTTCTTATAAAGATATATGAGTAAGATAAATATAGTTGTAAGGGGCAATGCTTATGAAATTTCACACTGTCAGGGTCTCCCCGTTCTCTCTGTCGCCCATCTTCCCTTTTCTATCTCCATTTATTTTTTTGCTTTAAATAAGCATTCATCTGTAGAAATGATTTTCGTGTATTCCACTACGACCAACGTACTGGTTTAATATCTTTTTATAAGAGTACAACCAATCAATTTACAAATTAGTATTTGAAGCCACAATGATGGGCTGCCGGACGCAATTAAAAACGTCTCTTGAAAGGTAGACTGGCCAGTCACCCTCTCGAATCCCGATTCTCCCATTTGATTCTTCCCTGTGTTCCCCTCCCCGTGGTTCCCGCCTTTTGCTCGTTCCATTTTTTGTCTGTCCCTTGTCTTTTCTCCATTTATATCTTGCTAAGTCTTTAGTCCATATAACATTTTCTAAATAATCCAAAAAAAAAGAGTTTTTTCGAACATTTACGCATAAGTTGAAATTTAATGGACAATTATCATTCATGTTAGGTAACAACTCCCCTTCAGAACCCCAAGGTGAGCGGCTGGGACGACGAAGACTGGATACTGCAGACATAATCACCAACAATTACGGAAGTGCTGATTTTTAACAATCAAACTGGGAAATGTAGATAGTGCGGTAGTAACAATTTAAAACTGAAGCGTTTTTGGACCAAGAGTGGATAACTGTTCACTTTTTGGAACAAGGATGATGAAGAAACCGGACAGTGAGAGCTTTCATTTTTATATGAAATGATGTTCATAAAGACTTACGGCGCGTGCAGAACGCAGAAATTCCTCCGCCACCTTACCGAGTGAAAATGAAAAGATCTGGACCGTTTTTCTTTGAACGACGACTAAGGCTAACAATAGATTCAATGGGTCATCGTTTACAACTTTTTGATGTCAGAATGTACAACAGACTGGTGGAATGAAGTGTGGATATAAGGCACAGTATCCATAAACAAGTACATCACCAGAATTCCCAAGGATTATAGTACGGGACGTACAGGCAAGTTAAGTCTACCCGACTCGTCTCCCCCCCCTGTCTCTCCGTCCTTCCTTCCCATTTATTGTCTGGCCTTGTCTTACTATCCATTATATCTTGCAATCTTTAAGTTAGGCCATTATATAAGCATATAATATACCAAAATATTTTCGAACATTACGCAAGTAAATTTAATGACCAATTATCAATTCATTTATGAAAACAACTCCCCATCAAACCAAGGTGAGTCGCTGGGGAGGACGAAGACTGGATAGCGGCAGACATATTCACCAACAATACGGAAGGGATGATTTTTACTATCAAAATTGGAAATTGATATGCGGTAGTACAATTTAAAACTGATAGCGTTTTGGGGACCAAAGATGGATAACTGTTCACATTTTTGACCAAGGATGATGAAGAATCCGGAGAAAGGGGGGGGGGGGGGGGGGGGGGGGGGGGGGGGGGGGGGGGGGGGGGGGGGGGGGGGGGGACAGTTAATCTTTCATTTTATGAAATGATGTTCATAAAGACTTACGGCTGCGTGCAAGAACGCAGATATTCCTCCGCCACCTTACCGAGTGAAAATGAAAGATCTGGACCGATTCTTTTAACGACAACTAAGCTAACAATAGATGTCAATGGGGTCCCAGCGGTTACAACGTTTTGATGTCAGAATGTACAACAGACTGGTGGAATGAAGTGTGGATCAAAGGCACAGTATCCATAACATTTACATCACCAGATGCCAAGGAATAGTACTGGACCCGGTACTGGGCAAGTACGTCCTACCCGGGTCCTTCCCTCTCCCTGTCTCTCCGTCTTCCCATTTATTGTCTGCCCCTTTCTTATTTTCCATTTATATCTTCTAAATCGTTTAAGTTCAGGCCTATATAAAGCTTATAATATAACCAAAATAATTCGAACATACGCAGAGTTTAAATTAGATGGACCAATTTCAATCTCAATTATGAAACAACTCCCCATCAAACCCAAGGTGGCGGCTGGGATAGACGAAGTCTGGAAGCTGCAGAAATAATCACCAACAATTACGGAAGGATGATTTTTTACAATCAAAATTGGAAAATGTTAATAGTGCGTAGTACAATTTAAAACTGATAGCGTTTTGGGGACCAAAGATGGATAACTGTTTCACGTTTTGAACAAGGATGATGAAGAACCGGACAGTTAGATCTTTCTACATTTTTATGAAAGAGTTCATAAAGACTTACGGCTTGCGTGCAGAACGCAGAATTCTCCGCCACCTTACCGATGAAATGAAAAGTCTGACCGTTTCTTGTAACGACGAACTAAGGCTAACAATAGATGTCAATGGGGTCATCGTTTTTACAACTTTTTGATGTCAAATGTACAACAGACTGGTGGAAGAAGTGTGGATAAAAGGCACAGTATCGCATAACATTACAGCACCAGATTCCCAAGATAGAGTACTGACGGGTTACAGGCAAGTACGTCTAAGCCCGTCTCCCCTCTCCTGTCTCTCCGTCGTCCCATTTATTGTCTGCCCTTGTCTTATTTCCATTATATCTTTAATCTTTAGTTTAGGCCATTATATAAGCATAGGAAATAACCAAAATAATTTCGCACAGATACGCATAAGTTAAATTTAATGGACCACTTTATCAATTCCATTTATAAAAACAACTCCCCATCAGAACCAAGGTGAGCGGCTGGGGATGAACGACGACTGATAGCTGCAGACATAATCACCAACAAGTTACGAAGTGATGATTTTTAACAATCAAACTGGAAATGTT